TATTTGAATTTTTCCTGTCTCATGGTTTCTTTTTTCTATCTGGGGAGCGGGGTCTTCCTTCACTGCTTTAGTAGTATCTGGCACTGTCCTTTTGGGGTACACTTCCAAGAGGTAGGATGCAAGCTTGGCACTGATTTTTTTACTGCCTTTCTGGGGGGACATGTGATCTTTCCTTAAATCTGGATGATTTCCTTACCTTGTGAGGAAATCTTGTGAGGTGAGTGAGACCAGTGGTGTCTTTAAGTGTTGCAAATGGATCTAAGGATTGCTTTTCCTGGGTGTTCACTTTCTGGAGAGCTTAAATGACCTCTCTGCTAAAGGGTTTTACTTTATGAGCAAGAGCTGGCTGCTGATAGTTATCATTGCATTTTATCTATTTTCATTCCTCAAGGTGCTCTGGCACCCTGCCTAATTTGTAACTCTGACTTGCAGGTATTTTTAATCTAATGATTGGTATTTAGGGCAGCTTTTTGCAAGCAAAGAAGCTTTTTGTATTTTGTACAGGTAATCCTTGACTTACAACAGTTCATTTAGTGACCACTCAAAATTACAATGGCACTGAAAAAAGTGACTTGAGATGGTTTTTCACACTTACAACTGTTGCAGCATCCCCACAGTCATGAGAGGCCAGGCAAGGAGAAGTGTCCCTGAATGTGAGTGGTGTTGAGTTGACTACGCCCAGCCAGTCACATGACCACCAAGCCATGGCCACTAACTAAGCCATGCCCACAGAACTGGTTGTTTAAAAAAGTGAATCCCACCTCTGAGGTAAAGGGTTTGTTATGGGAGTGTGTGGGTTGGTTGAGGGATTGTTTTTTGTTGTTGGAATTGTTTTCAAACCTGGGGATTAGGGATGGAAACCAGATTCTTCCCTCACCCTTCAGTATCCTTGAGAAAAATGCAGAAATTACTAATAGGTAACAGATGCAGTGTTTTCCCTCTGACTGCCTTGAATTTAGTTGCTCTTCAGCTGTGTGCTATGCACTACACAAGGTCCCTAGCCTGACGTCAATGGAAGCCCTTCCCAGGATGAGTACATGATATTCTACATTGGCTCATGCTGTGGATGCAACACCTGCAGTGTGAGAACAAAGAAGTTTATTTAACCTCTTTTGCTTAAGTCACATTATCTCAGCCTTAGATTTGGCCAGGAAACCAGTGGATGTGAATGCAACAAACTAAAATCTATTGTGTTGTTCATGAATGCATTCTGTTACAATCAGAGCAGGAGCTATATAAAAACATGAGAATGTATTCCTGCTGCTTATACCACATTTTAATTCCCTGCATTTAATTCATTTTAAAAGATTAAGGGAAATTATTGGGGGAGGGGACGACCTTAGAACATTGGGGAACTGTTACTAACATCAGAAAATTGGCTTGTTGTGGCTTCCTCCCTGTGCACCCAAATTTGTCATTCCAAAATGCCAGGAAAGATCACACTAAAGGAAGTATTTAAACAGCACAATGCAGATATTTAGAATCATGAAAAATCATTGCATTCTTGAACTGTCTTACATGATGAGTCAATAGGACAGGATTGTACATGAATATCAGAAAGAAAGAAAAATGCCCCTATTTCCTTTTCCATATTTATTCACTATAGAGGTACAGTAGTTTCCTATGCTTAGGGTGATCAGGTTTGGATTTTTTAATTTTTCTTTTATAGCGTTTGGAAAGAGAATCTGGGCAAAAGTGTTATCTTTTGCATAAATAAGACAACTCCTGCTGAAATGCCCTTTCTTGGAACAATTTCTCAATTAGAAATTGCAGTCTTAGGGTCTTTTAATTTCATAAGGGCCTTGGACTAATTTCTAGATATTTGTGTAAGAACTCAAACCAAACAAAGCAACTGTTTGAAAAGAGGGTGAAAAGGTAAGAATAATCAGATAAATAGGTATTTTACTGACCTGTTGAAGTCTAGCTCTCAGCTATTGTTTCACCTTTGACAGTGTGGTTAGCAGCAGACATGTGGTAAGTATTGTGTAGCAGGACTAGAAGTCAGCACGCTTTATGTTCTTCCACTTCTCCTTCTCCCTTCCCAAGGAAATGAGATAATTCAGATGTTCCCACCCACATGTAAAATGCTTGTCATTTTGAAAGACAGAGCCTGAATCAGAACAGTGATACTGAGTGTGGAGCCACACAAGGCTTAGGGCAAACTCCCAGCCCACGGGCTGGGGGCATCATATGCTGGCCATGCCCACACCTGGTTTAGCGAAGGCAGGGAAAGTCCTGATATGTCATGTGGCGCAAGCATGATGATGTGAGTTTGACACTCCTGGCACAGGGCATTTAGAAGTTATTTAGATATACAGCTTCAGCTATGTCATTTGCCCCTCAACTGTCAGCATGAATGTTTGTAAATAAGACACTATTAGTATCCTATGATGTCCCTTCAAAGGAAACTGGACCATGGAAGTGCTGAAACATTTGAATCTTTCCCTCCAGTTAGAAATACTAACAATATTTGCTTAAATCTGTCCTGAAGTGCTCGCTGAACTACTCTCAACTCATCCTGGAACTGGCTCAAGTACTTATTTTTCTTGAATTCTAGGGAAAAAAACCCTCATCTATTCTCTCAAGAGCTCTCTCTTAGCTAAGAGTGTTGACAGTCATATAAGTAGTATTCCATGGGTTGTTATAATATTGTTATATTGTTATAATAAATTGTCCCAGGGAAGCATAATATCTCAGCGCTAGATATCTAAAAATCCAAAAGCCCTCTTTTGTTCCCAGAACACCTGGGAACAAAAGAGTGGCTTAGATCTTGATGCAAACAATGGCCACAAGGTCCATCAGCAAAAATCATGTGGAAGAATGACATAATTAGATGACTTAGTCACTTAGCAAAAGGCAATATGGCAAGGTGATTTGCCCAGACAGCTCTTAGCAATCAGTGAAAGTTTAATTAAGAATAAAGGATTCCTATCAGTGTCAATTTTACAGCAACAATCAGGAAAGAAGCCAATGAAACAATTCTTGATTTTTTCCCCTTAGCAACACAGCTGTGTCTCGGCCAAAACATTAGAAAAAAGGATTTGCTGCCAGAACACTTCAAAAAAAAATTCCAAGAACTATGTCACTACATAATTAAACAATATAGTCTTGGTGGCACATTACAAATTTGACATAAATACAAATTTAATAGCACATATCCTTAATATTCAGCAAACTCCTTGGGATTCTTCTGAAGTCGTATTTACCAAGTGCATAAATTGGCTTGCATTTTATATGAACTTCATCCTAGGGCAGCTGTATAAATCTGTGCTGATCCAACATTCTTAGTCATGCCTCTGGAGATCACTTGGCTTTTGTTTTGCTCCTGACAGTAACTTGATAACTTTACATCTACCTTGTATCATGGGTCTTTAAAACACATTTGTCTAAAGAAAAAGAATCAGCTCATACTTTTTAGCTGATCAGATGTAGAAAAAGCAAATAATGAGAAAGTAAGTCTATTATCTACAAGTGTATTTTGCCATTGAATGGACAAAGTCAGAATTCTTAATCCTTTTTTTAGTCAGTTCACTTTCAGTTTTATATAAAAATATTTTCCCAACAAACCTTCTGCAAGAGATGCAAATGTTGTAAGAAACTCATATTCTTATATATACATTTACATAGGTAGCGAGTTGTAATAATCTCTTCAGCAAGCCATATCTTCTGTTTTCCCACCCTTCAGTTAAATTCTAAGGAAAGGGATAATGAAGGGATTCTTCTTCCCAAGAAATTATAGTAGTAGTAATAGTAGTAGTAGTAGTAGTAGTAGTAGTAGGAGGAGGAGGAGCAGCAGCAGCAGCCAGGAGTGGGATCCGACCGTTGTAACTACTGGTTCGGTGATTTTACATTTTGCACATGTATGTATATCGTCATCATCTAGCTGCCTGGACAGCTGAGCAGAGCTGTGTGCGGGTGCACAGCGGTTGAAAAAGCCCTTTTTTCCTGATTTTTCAATTACAGCTGTGTTGCACAAAGCAGCTCCAGTTGAAAACAGATGAAATAAAAGTCAGGTAAGAACCGAGGCAGCAGACATAGAACCGGTTCTATGTATGCTCTCTGCTGCTTTTCAGAACAACCAGTTCTACAGAAGTGGACAGAACCAGTAGAATCCCACCCCTGGTAGCAGCAGCAGCAGCACAGCAGTATTACTGGCTCACTGTTTTTGTGAGCAATTGTTTGAGAATTTCTCCTTTGTCTGAATTTTCAAGCAAATATTTTATACTTGGGTTCAAAATATAGAGTGACAACTAATTTCTGTTCATACTATGTCTCTTTTTTGTTATTCCCATGGGAAGACCCACTATAGCATGTCAAACTCCAGTAAAAGATCAATAAATTTTGGAGACACAGAAGGCTACAGAGAAGAGAGAGAATGTATTCTACTGGTAGATAATGTCCTAAGTAGCTGAACCTTGTTGGGGTTGTAAGATGAACAAGAATGTAAACAATTGGTTATTGTTGATTCTCTTTGCAAGTAATTTGCACTTTTTCAAGTTGTATCAAAATGGTGGGCCTGCTTTAATATAATTAAAGATGTAAGTACATTGTAGAATTTAAGTGTTGGCAAACAAGTGTGTCAAACAGAACAGTTAACTACATGAAAATAATATTGAAATTGTAAAATGATATATCCTATGGGACAGTTATGCTACCTCAAGAGTGGGTTTATCTTATTAAAATTAGTGGGCTTCAAATGCCCAGAAAATTTCCCCAAAAGTGTTTTTTCAAGGGGCAACTGGACTTTCTTGTTTTTCTTTGAAGACGTTTTGTTTCTCATCCAAGCAAATATCTTAAAAGAAATTCCAGAAAGTCCAGTTGCCTTTAAAAAAAAGCACCTTTCAGACAACCATGACCCAAGTGACTGAGAATCTCCATAGATGCCCAGTAAATTTATTTTCAATTCTGATTGAAGTATTGTATCAGTGAAATTCAAATATAATTTCAATACGATATTACAATATGGGTTTAAAATTATTTCAGTTTAAAATATAATTTACCTGTTTGCTGTCCAGTGGCCACAGGTATTACTTTGTAAGGTGTCCTACAAGAAGGAAAAAAAACCCTTACATTATTTTCCCCACTAAATGATTAATACTATTGTGAGGATAAAGCACGGAGTACTATGCACATCCCTCGGTCTTCTGAAGAAAAGGCAAGATATATGGTTAGTAACCAACTTAAATAATACGTTGCAAAACAAAAGGTTGCTACAGGAGCTTATTATTTAAGTGAAGAAAGTTTAACTGCTCGCCTTCAATAAAGTCAGGAGATCTTGACTATGATCAGACCATGTTAATCATATATATAATTCTGCAAACTTTAATGGAACATAATAGTGTATGTCTGCTTGAGACTGGGAGGAGTACAGTGTGAAGGGTAAAAGTGACTTTCAGTGTAAACAGCTGTGATGGGAAATTATACCAGAAACAGAGAAGTTCTGGGAAAAGAAGAGAAGTTTGGGGAATAGGAGAGCCTTAGCTTCTGACCACTAATTAATATACATATCCCAAACTCCCTGCATTCAGCATGATGTTTTGTTTGTTTCTTGTAGTAAAGGACCATCAATGTCTGTAATCTCATTGTAAGCCTCAGAGAAAGTCAGATGTTTTGTTTTTATATAAGCTAATACTTTGTGGAATGGTTTTCCCTCCCCAGATAAAACTCCATATACTTTAATAATAAAGTATTAGTTTTAATACTTAAAACTAAAATAAGTTTTGAGTTTAAATGGGTCTTTAGACTTGTAATAGTAATTTTTGCTGTTTCCCTTTAGTGAAGTTTTTCACCCACCAGTTGTTTTTTTGTATTCCTATACAAAAGAACTGGTGAGTGAAAAACTCCACTCTGCAAAGCTAGCTTCAACCATAATAAGATATACCTGCCTTTCAGAATTGGTTGGCATAGTGGGATCAATGGATACTATGCAGTCATCAGCAGTGAAGAGTGAAATAGTTGTATTCCTGGAAGACAAAGTTTAAAGCTAGGTTTATTTAACCGGGTTAGAACCCAACATCTCATGTTTTAAATGGAATGTTTGACAGGTAGTTTAAACAGTTAGTGCCTTCTTAAAGAGACAAAGAACTACAATCATTTAAGAGAAGGAGAGTGTCAAAACAAAAATGGCAGAATATGATTGCTGAATTCCAGGTTAGGAAAGGCTGGCATATTTAATAAATACCTTATGTTGCAGTGGAAAGTGTAATCATAATTTTGGGGTACCCCCCACTATTGTTTGTGTATCCTCTGAACATTCAGCAGAAAGTGAATATGCAGATGCATACATATAGATTTCAGCTGAACAGATAGAGAAATGGCCTAGGATTTTTGCAGGAGCATCTGAGGGAGAATAAAAAGAAAGTATACCTGCCATCTTATTTTTTTGGACATACACCCTAGTGCCATGTGGGTCTAAAATGGACACACTTTTTCTTAATAAATGTAGATTGAATTGTATTTTCTGCACCTGAAATGACTTCAGAAATATTCATGGTATTGCATCACATATTCATTGCGTGCATTATCTCACTGTTAATTGGAACCCTGTTATTCATAGAAATGAAAATGATGATTCAGTTAAAATATTATACAACAATACACTCACTTTTTCATCTCTTAGCTGTAATAGTCAGATAATTCACTTCTTCATATTCAGATAGTTAATTATAATGTTATGAAACAGATCTGTATTCTTACTGCTCTCTCAAGAAGGAAATGCATGCAATTCTGCTAATGTTCTGAAGCAACTGATATGGTTGATGATATATCTCTGCATGAATCTGTTTGCTTTCCTTTGAAAGCAGTCCAGATGGCAAAATATGAAAGGTTTGTATATTACCCTAAGATCTAAAGAAATGCATGGTTTTGCATTACATTTTATGATATTTTAAAGTTGAAATGTTGTAAGATGATTACATGCCTTTATTAGACACTTATTTACAGGAATAAAAGCCTGTTTTTAGTTGACATGTAATACCAGCAAGCATAAAAATCCAGAATCTTTTCCAGTTAGAAGAAAAGACTTTTCTTTCCCAGATATTTTCAATTACTTTTAAGTACCGATATTATACTGAGATAATCTTTTATGTGTTTTTATTATAATTTCCCTACATTATTTTAAATCAATTGATTATATTATTATTTTAGTGTTTCAAGTAACAGAATGCTCACAGATTGAATGGATTAGAAAAAAAAACATAACAAGTACAGTTCCCTATACTGCTTTCATTTACCTGGTTTACCTGGAATCAAAACTGCTGGTTTGCAAGAGCTCTTCAGAGGAGCATCTTGAAGCATTTTTGGTAATTTCTCTGCAAATGCACATATATGCCAGTGTAGAAAATTAGCACCCTCTCCTAGAAGAAATAAATATTCTAGGAAATATTAAAAGGCAGAATATTATATCTTTCTGGATGAGAAAAGGAGAAACATGTTCCTGGAAAGCAGCCCCCACCTTTGTTAACAGCCCCAGAAAGACTGGGCCATTCTATCTACAAGACAAAAGGCTGGGCCAGCTTATCCATAGCACAAAAGACCTTTACTCTCAATAAGATTAGACCTCTACCCATCTCACCACATGGTACCTGGGAAGGTTACTTGTTATGTCCTGAGGACTCAAGGAGTTCTCACTCAGGTCCACTCACT